TAGGTTGTGGTGTCTCATCGCCAAGTCAAACACTTGGTCTAGTTTTGATTTCAGGATTCTCCTTAACTTCAAAATTCAAGGTTGCGTCGCATGATAATACAATGTGGAAATTTACACTTACTGCAATGCTGTGTGTACATGTTTAATAACATCAATGTTTTGTTTGTGTTGCAGCCTATGTAGTCACAAGAAAAGATTCACAACCAACATGTGCCGACAACCACGGATAAATAAAACAAGGGTACATGCAACAAGTTATCACTGATCACAAAAAGTATTCTAGTTGGTTTTTTTTGAACTTGAACTGGGTTTCTAGCAGCAATCGTAAATTTCATTTACATTTAGCTACAGTCAATTGTGTCACTGTAGCCACTATTGGCCAAGAGTAATTTCAAACTTGAATTATTCTGTGAAAATAGTAACATAATTTATAGGGTTGTACCACTTCCTGTTCAATATGGGACTCACAGCGCGTGCGAAATACATTTGTGCAATGAACATCGCTAAACAGGAAAACAATGTTACAATAGCACAATTAAATTTCTCATATTCTTTCACAGAAATCTGATGCATTTTGTGATTTTCCATTTCTCGTTTATGAATTGGCTAAGAAAGACAATCCAGTATTGGCTAATGTGGCTAAAATATTTTAAGCTTGCAAATTTATAGTGTATGCTGCATGTTCGATAGCGTTAATCATTTTGGTGGCAGCAATGAAACCATAGAGCGGTTAGTGACGAGACTGATGCTATTGTTCAACTCAGAAAATCGTGATTTTTTAGGAGTGGGCGCTCACCCGAGCACCCCCTCGAAAAAGAGTGCAAATGAAAATTTGTATTCATCATGTGACAGATTACGTCTTTGAGGGAAAATCAAATTACGAAATTAGTTGCGTCGTCATTGATTTTCACAATGAAGAAACAGAAATTATCACAAAAAATATGCACATGTTATTAAAATATTAATTACGTACCACCATAATTTACGAAATTAAAAACATTAGAGTCTGTTGGAACACAGTCAAAGTCAAAATTCTCATCATTATCTCCACTGACGAAGGTGTTGGATCGTACGCAAACTCTCCATGAAAATCACTTTCCGCCATGATGCATTTGCAGATTTGACCTGCAGCAGCGTCCTTTGACCTAATGGGTCAGAATGCTGTGTTGTACCGACGCAATTCTCCGGAAATTCCCTAAGACTTTCCGGTAACACAATGCGGAAGTAAATTATCGATGTCGAAGTACGATCTGTTGGAATAGATTTCAGCGAATAAACGACATGGTTTTTCCAAAAAACTAGTAACTAGCCATTTTTGTGAGGTAAACTGAATATGCCATGAAATATTTACCGCATTTTATTTGTATTAACAGGTCATTGTCGAAGCGTAGTTTACGCACGGTTACCGATGTCTATGCATTTACAACATATTCACAGCGCGCAGCGGTCGATATCCACGCTGTATCATATAAAAACGATTACCAAGATTCGTTACGCAAGACCAAGTTTTAAATTAGTTGCATTTTGAAGGGGTGGGCGCTTTGCCGAATGTGACCCCCAAATATAAAAATTGCGCAAAAATGTGAGTGGGCGCTTGCCTGGGCATGGGCGCTAACGCGGTTGAGTACGGTAGATTGAAAACGTATTTGCATGGAAGTTTGTGCAGATCCACCATGTGATTAAACTTTGTTGCCTGCAGGATTATGAAAACTATACCTGTAATTCATTTTTGAAAGCTACATTACTTTAATAAGTCATCAAACAAAGCAGAAGACATCACATTTATTACATTTAGACTACATTAAATATTAC